CGTGTGAGGAGCCATGTCAGCCCCATCAGCTGGCAGTCTCTGTTGAACATCTTGATCGCTCGGTCGCTCGGTCGCTCGTCGTGCTCCGGTTCTTTCCGTATTCGCCTTTCAGCTGCAAAAAAAACAAGAACCGTTGATTCTTCATTGTGACAGTGACAATCAAAACCCAGTTATCAGTTTCTCTTCCATTAATTACTTTACCTTTTGGAGAGAGCCCATGCATTTCGTACACCCAGCATAAGATGAGTCCCTGCAATCCCTCTCCAAATTCTTCACCGCCGCTGTCGGCGTCGCGTTTCGCAATCCGGAAACGTTAAAAGCGGCGGGACAACTCAGGGAACTAATCTGATGCAGCCTTATTCCACAAAAACATACAATCGCATCGCAACTCGCGTTCGGCTGAGGAATCCTGACTCGCTTGCTCACCAATGCTTTCTGCAACGTGTTGACACACTTTTGGGAATCGTCCGGCATCATGGGCAGCTCCGGCGCAGCCGGAGCAAGAGCCGAAACTTCCAAAGCGTACCTTGCATGAGCAGCAAAGAGCCAAGCTGCCAACAAGGGACAGCAGCGGCTTCTGTCCAGGTCGTGGCCACAGGCGTCGTTGACGCCGCCGAATAGTTCGCTGACAGGTCGAGCTGGCAAACTTGAGCTTGGACTTCAGCCGGAAGTGCTGGAACCGTGTTCGGGGATGAGTAATCTCCGCCCTTTAACGGCTGATCCTGGCCGGAAACTGATTGAGATAGAAAAGTATTGGCCATAGAATGACGGAGGAGAGTGAAAGAAAACAAAAGTAACAAAAATGGTGAAAGATGGTACAGAGAATCCATGAATTTTCTTCTAAAAGATTACTGGAGAATTGGGAAATGGGAATCGGAATTAGATTGTAAAAATTAGGGACTGCACTTTGAACCTGCTAACAATCATTCATTTTTTTTTTGGGTAGGAAAACGGAAAGAGGGGAGACTCAAGAGAGATTCAAGAGGTATCAAAGATTATTGTGGTGCTCAGAGAAAGCTACAAGCTTTAAGCGAATTATTGAATTTCCAGAAACCTATAATGGAAAACCAAAAAGAAATCTGTGATATACACAAGATTGGACCAGGGAATCATGAGATTTCTCAAGAACATGAGAAATGACAGACTACATATACTATTGTTAGACATGATATGGGTTTAGAGTTTCCTCCAATGTTGAGTAAATAATTAGGGTAAATTTTACATTTGGCACATAAACTATCAGTTTTAGTCCGTTTTAGTATCTAAATTTTGAAAATTTTCAAAACTATACCCAATGTTTAGTTTTGCTTTATTTTATTACCCCGTTCAAAATTTAAAGTTAAATTTTGAAAAAATCTAAAATTTAGGTACTAAAACGTACCTAAACTTATAGTTTCAGTACTAAACGCGTTAAATTTTTAACTATATATTAAAATGAATTAAAAATTAACGTTAAGTATGATTTTAAAAAAATTAAAAGTTTATGTACTAAAACTCTACGTAGCTTACTCAAATAATTACAAAGAAAATCAGGGTAAACTACATTGGCAATCTTTTATATTTTCTATCTGTTCGATTGAAAATAATTTAGTTTTAATCTCTTGACCGACGACCAAAAGTAGAGAGCTATGAAATAAAAATGACCATTTGATAGTTTATCCTTCTGTTTTGGAATAAAGTAAAAGAAAGTTGAGAATGGAAAGAGATGGGTCCATGGAGAAACAGAAGAGATTCATTAGGGCGATGGGGCTGTATAGAATGATTGAAAAGAAAGAAAGCTTGTGTATGTGCCCTTTTCCTTTTCATTCTCCAATACTTCTTTCTTGTGAACCGTAAAATTAGTTGCATCAAAGTTAGCTAACATGATAATTAATAGGTAAATAAATAAAGGTAGGGTAAAATATACCATTTCTCATTAGATTTCATTCTCTCACTTCAAATTAGTTATCTCTCGAGTTCGAATATGATGGTTGTTTTATCAAAAAATATATCAAAATCCATGTATCTCGACTGAAACATTTCAACTTCCTCACTTTCGATCTCTAATTTGTGGACTTTAGAGCAAGTTTCGACAAAATGGATGTCAAATTAGGACTCAGTCTGTTGAGGCGAAGCGAGCCATGTAATTTGAGACCGAACGACCACCATCTACGACGGTCGACAGCGAGCGTTTGGCGACCTTAGATTTTTATTTTATATTCTAAATTATGTTTATATTAAATAATAAAAAATATCATGTAATATAAAAATAATAATAAAATAATTCAAAGTGATCAAGCCACGAGCAATTCAAAAGTCCAGTGAGTAAATTAAAAATTAAAAGTATCGTGAGTAAAAGAAAGAGTAAAGTTTAATGAGTAATCAGTAACTTACCATAACGGTTTAATTGCTAAATTTATGGAGTATTATTCTATTTTTATTTTTGTCAAAAATAATTATATCTTTCCTGAGTTGTTGAACAAGCACTATTGGGTGGTGCATGTATGGATAGGTTGGTAGCCATAAACAATTGGATGATTTTAATGAAAAGCCTATGAAGAAAGAAAGTAAAGTAATGTAAAGCGATGCTCAATCATTTCCCTTTGTTTATCCGAAACAATTGTTAGGTAGAAGTGGGAGTTGAACCCTTATGATGGTGGTATGAAAAACATACAAATGATATCAGACTATAAAGTGGTGTTCCGTTGAGTCTTAAAGTGGTCTCTCGACTATAGTGCGATATTTTATTGAGTTTTTTGACTATTAAAGGTTATAAAATGGTCTTTCGACTATTCATATGTTTCAGATTTGTTCTCTTTCATTAAAAAGTTAACGATCGTCTGAGCTGGACGTTAACTTATTGACTGAGACGTGATAAAATCTGATCCTAGAACAATTTGAGTTGTATTTTATGGATCAAATATTCGTTTATATTATGTCATCGAGTCAGTGCTTGAAACATTATATTGTCGAGTTAGTGTTTGAAAGCAATGTCGGTGCTAGTAAATATCATTGAAAATATGATTTTATATCATATCTCAGTTAGTAAGTTAACGTCCAACTTAGACGACCGATAATATTTTAATGGGAAAAGACGAGTGTGGAATATATGAATAGATAGGTGACCATTTTGTAACTTTTAATAGTCGAGGGACTCGACAAAATAATGCACTATAGTCAAAATATCATTTTGTAACTTTTAATAGTCGATGTACTCAACAAAATAACACCTATAATTAGCTATCTTTTATATACATTACCTTTCATTTTATAAGGGCAAACTACGGATTTAGTACCTAAAATATCAGTTTTGATTCGTTTTAGTACCTAAACTTTGAAGTTTTTCAAAATCATACATGAAGTTTAGTTTTTGTTTCATTTTAGTATCCACCATTAAAAAATTTATCTATTTAGTACCTAAACTATCAGTTTTGGTCCGTTTTAGTACGCAAACTTTCAATTTTTTCAAAACTTAACGTGAAATTTTGAACATTGTATTAAAATAAAACAAAAACTAAAGTTTTTAACGGTGAGATATTAAAATGAAACAAAAACTAAATTTTAGATATGATTTAAAAATTTAGGTACTAAACAAATCAAAATTAATAATATAAGTACAATTTTTTTTTAAAAAAAAAGAGGAAAGTTATTTCATTTACATGAAAAAAAGGGAATAGAAACTTTATTGAGACTCAGATATAGCATATGGCCCTGCAAAACCTTTGGTAGTTGAGCTTAAAAAGTTCGATGAAAAAAGGTTTAATCATGTGTCCACAGATCAGGTTGAGGGTCCCCAACATATTATTTTACTGCTACTCGTCCATCGGGGTCAAGCTAATTGGCTTTCTGGTTAGCCCCAAGCGAGAAATGGCCTTTGCCAATGAGCATTTGTGAGCGGTGAAGTCCAAGTCGGACCACAGTTTATTAAGGATATATTCAGTTCGATTCGATTTTTCATTAAACTATGAACTGAATCATATTTTATGAACTTTTAAAAAATTAAAATCAAAATCAAAATACATAAAAATTATGATTTCCAATTTAATAAAATTTGATTTTTCGGTTTTCGTAATTAAACCCAAAATAAAAGTTCATAAAAGTAATTTTAAACCGAAAACCCAGTTAATTTTAAAAATTACTATGTTTAAACTCAATTAATTTTAAACCTAAATAAAAAATACTCAAATTAATTAAAGAAAATACAAATCCTAAAATTATTTGAGAAAAAATTGTTCTCAAATATAAACTCAATTAATTTTATGTTCGTTTTATTAACGTTTATATTCGTTCGTTTGTGTTCGTTCATTTATGCTCGTGAATCATTTTAACGAACGAACATTGGCGGACGCGAACAAGCTAAATTTCTTAATGAACGAACACGAACAAGAAATTTAATTCGTTTAGTTGTTCGTTTTCGTTCGTTTGTTCGATTAAAGATAAACGTACAAACATGGATATACTCTTGTTCGTGTTCGTTTACATGCCTAATAACATCCATAAAATCAAATTTCTAAAATGTTTTTGTCTTTTATTAATTATTTGAGTTGTAAGTACATTAAATATATAATTTGTATACAAAGGAAGGAAGAGAAAATAGTGTTAAATGTTATAAAGACAAGATGATATGTTTTTTTACAATTCAAACTATGGTGAGGAATCCATTTCTGCAATTAATTCTTATTGACCGCGTAAACTCGAAAGCAAAATAAGCATGTCGGCAGCCATGAACGTGATGTTGAAGAACAAAGTCGATCATTACAAATCCACAAGCCACTACAATAAATAAACAAACCCAAAAATCAAAATCACTGATGTTGATGATTCTACATTTCAAGTCCAAACTCTGAATCCTCTATTTACATAAATTCGCTGAAATCCAAACCATCGGGAATTTCAAACTTGAGCAAGCTGCTGAAGCTTTCTCTCTGGTCATCCACAGTACTGCTGCTGCTGTTGATGAACGTTGATGACGAATTCAAAGGCGTGGGACTCGATATCGGCGTAGACCTCAAAGAATCCAATGATCGGATATTTGAATTTTCAGACACGAGAGGAATCGTCGTATTCGGACCATACTGAACGTAATTTGGCTGCGAAACAAACGTTTCTTGGGAATTCGAGCAGCTGAGAAACCCTTCTCCGGATGCTTGCATGAACTTGAAGCTGATGGTTTGGTTGAGAATTATTATTACTAAGCTGCTGGTTTTGTTGGAGATGTTGTAAGAGTATTTCAGGGTTGTCTTGCTTCAACGACAAGAGAGTGTTGGCTAGCCGTAGCAGTTGAGGGTTTAGGAGAGCTTGTGCACCTAACAAGTTTGACACATTGACAATCGACTGGTTGCACAAATTCAAGCTCAAGATCGAGGAAAGGTCGAGGAAATCGAGCCGTGGCGCATGCGTCACCGGGTCGATCCCTTTTCTCAGAAGCCTTTTCCTTATATGAGTGTTCCAGTAGTTCTTGATCTCGTTATCGGTCCGTCCCGGCAAGCGAGCGGCAATAGCCGACCATCTGATATAAAGGAAACCGGTAAGGTCCATCATATATGAAAACGACTACACAACAACCTAACATCGACCAATTCTAAATGAACTAAAAAGAGGGGGGGGGGAAACATACTTGTTGCCCAAGACACTGTGTAGTTGAATTATCGTCTCTTCTTCTTCAAACGAAAATCTTCCTCTCTTGATATCAGGTCTAAGGTAGTTCGTCCATCTCAGACGGCAACTCTTTCCACATCTTTGCAGCCCTAAACAGTTCAAGCAAAAGCATCATCAGAACCAAACCTTACAATTACAATCAAACATACGTACATATATGTGAATAAAGGATAAAATTGTATACCAGCTTTCTTAGGGAGGGAGCGCCAATTGCTGGGGCCATGAATCTGAACATAGTTAGTAAGCTTGAGATCTTCCTCGGGTGTCCATGGACCTTTCTTGAGGCCAGTTTTGTCGCAGCAAGGTGTTCTCCCCATTGCTTTTGCTAGGCCGGAATTCAAAGTTATGTGTGCAATTTTACGTGAAGGAGTGTGTGGCGGCAGTACGGTAGAATCCTACAAGACAAAAATGGCGAAAAGTGATAGTGGTGGATCCCAAATGAACGATGACCCCTCCTATATATATTATTGGGAATTAGCAAAAGAAATGTTTCAATATTGAAGTCAACGTTATTTGGTGCCGCCCTCCTTACACGTGTCTTTTCTGTGCATTTTATGTTTATACGTATAAATTTCTCGAATTAAACGAGGTTAATAGTTAAGATATTTGTTATTATTTTCTAAAATTTTAGATCGGAATATCATCTATATTAGAAAAATATAAATATTCATGATCAAATATTTATCTTCCTTGTAGTTTAGTTATAATATTCCGCATTGTTTGAATTTTAACTGAAATTTCAAAACTTATAAAGTATAAGATAATCTACAACTCAGTACAGTACAGGGACTAACCATATAATTTGACATGGATTTTTGCTCAAACAATGCATTATGTCAACACTTTCCCATCTGGACCCTCTTTCAAAACAAACCACTAGCTTTGAGACACGTATACCAACAAGGCAGCACCAGGTGTCCTCTCTAATTCCACCTATAAAGTCAACCATCCCCTACCCCTTTAGTTCGAATTCGACCAGTTTTGCCTCTCAAAATGTGTGGTCTTGCTTAACCTCTAAAAACCAGATTTCAAGGCCAGCACTACATAAAATTTTTATATAAAATATTCATAATTAAAATTTCAGGATGAATATTACTATTAAAATATATAATTATTCGAAGAAAATTCGAATTTCAAAATAAATATGAATCCTTAATAGATCTGCCATACGTCAACTGGGATAAGGAAAGTGGATTAATTCAAACACATCGACGATTCAGGTGCACAATTCCATCCACCACCTATCTAACATGACACCATTTGGTCAAATGCTTTTATATTATACACATATTTGTACATAATCTCTGTGCCAATGGTCAACATCCTGTTGCTTGCTCCCTTGCCTTTCCTTTTATATCCATCTTTTTATTGATTTTAATTAATTAAATCTGCTTAATTATCTTAATTAATCTCGTCTCCCTGTTTCTCGTCTAGAAACATCTTCGTTTAGAAATAACATTAAGCAACGTTTATCACCATGACACGTCTCTCTTAAAAAAAGATTTCGGCTTCATGGATTTTGATCCTCACTTTCCAAATATATTAATTCTTTGCTAAACCCTAACAAGTAAACTAAATTTATGCCTGAAATGTCATCCCCTAGACATGGTCGGAGAAACTTCATGCATTAGTTCGTCACGTTGATTTTACTATTTAATCTATCTTACATACATGCATGCATACTTGTCGAAATCTAGGGTTTGCTTGTGCATGGGATTACCATTTACAGACATGCATGAATCCATGTCTTTAAAGTTGACCAACACAATATTTTACAAATATATGTATACATGGTAGTTAAAATACATATTTTTTTTGTTAATTTTTGTTGTAAGTTGCCCATGATCCCCAACAAACTTTGAATGGTTTTTTGTGCAATGTTGTAAGCCGGAATTTTAAGATTTCACATGTATGTTGTCTTAGCTAAAATACGTTAGCTAAAGTTGTAAAATTGGTACGTGAGTGTACGAAAACCCGTCGGTCCACTATTTAATGCACTTCATCCACATATCTATGGTGTCGTATGTACGCAGGCAAAACCGTATACATTTTATACGTAAATTCTTATTTGATGAGTTTTGAAAATATATTCAATTTGTATCATCAAGCTATTTTAGGAGAGTCATACTTAGGAATGAAATTGGGATGTTTAAAAAATATAGAAACTAATTCAAAATGAGAGTAACAATTTGGGGATGTGTGGTGCAATTAATTTATTTAAAAAAGGGGTTAAAGCTAATCTAATAACCTTACACCAGTTAGATGGATTTAGGAGTGTAAATGAACGGAGCGTTCCTTGTGGGTAGTTTGGAAATGGGGACACTGGTAAGGTTGAAGGTGCAAGCGTAGAAAGAGAGTGAGACAGTCACACGTAGAGGATTAACGAGTGGTTGGATTATATGGATGCTGGCGTCAATGTATATTTATCAACCTTATATATTCGACTGAATGTTCTACATGCATGTTTGGTGGTAGATTCACATTTGAATGGCTGATTCCACGAGATAATGTTCTCGAATTTTTTTCACGAGATAATGCTTTGATATTATTTGCTGAGATAGGGTTAATTCTACAGTGACCAAGAGGTTGCCATGCACGCCCAACGACCAAAAGGTCGCTATGCACGCCCAATGACCAAGGAGTCGCCATGCACTCGGGCGACCAGGAGCGGGAGCTGCATGGTGTGCATGGGGGGAGATCGGTGCATGCACGCATGGGGGGAGATCGTGCATGCATGGGGAGATCGTGCATGCTCCGGGAGATCGGTTCATGCATTGGGGAGATCGTGCATGGGAGTGTGTAGGTTGCCATGGTCCCGACGACATGGTAGGACGCCGGGCGTGCAATGGCGACCTATAAAGACGTCGGGCGTGCATGGCGACCTATGCTGGTTCGTCTGGATGCTGCCGTCGTAGGTCGCCCGGAGTGCATGGCGACCTACGGCCATCACTGTAAATTTACCCCATTCGAGCATTAATCTGAACACTGTATTATCTCGTGAAATAAAAACTTCGCTGCGTTATTTCGTTGATTTAGCCCTTTGAATGTCTAACATTTAATTTAATTTATTTCCAAGGTATTACTTAATGACATTGCAAATCCATTGTAGATTTGTTTAGTGCATATAAAATTAAAATTGTGATTATCCCACAAATGGGCGTGCAGTAAATTATATTTTAGGGTTCAGAACCCTGAAACATAATTTTCCTTCCCCATTTTTAGGTGTTTGAACACAAAAAAATCACCCTTAAAAAATGAAATATTCTCGATCAATCATCCTATATTAAATATTTTCCGATCCAACACCCTTATGAAAGAGAGAGAAGATTTCCCCTTGAAGGCACATCACTTGGGGAGAGCTTTACCCGGGTTTTGGATTCCCTTGAGGCACATTCCCTAAGCGCGCCTTCCTCATTTTTTATTATTTTATTAATTAATTTTTTATTCAATAATTTTTTTTATTATTTTTGTTTAATTAATTTTTGTATTCAATAATTTTTTATCATTTTATTATTTAGTTGTAAATTTATTTAGTTTATATTTATTATTTTCAATTAAAAAAATGAGAGGTGAGATGTGATTGGATGCTGATCATATTTCAAGTCATTTTGTCAATACGGTAAAAATATGAAACTATATTCCTTTTAAATTTTTAAATATTAAGAAATCGATCCTATATTATTTAAATTGTTAGAATTTATTTATTAGAATTACAATATATTTAATTACTCATTTATCAGAAATTTGATGTACGTTTTTTAATTTTAATTTTTTTTATTTAATTATCTTTATATAATTAAAAAAAATAATAAAATAATTAATTAATAAAATAATAAAAAATAGGAAGGCGCATCGATGTACCTTCATGCGAAATCTGATAATTATATTCTCTCTCCTCTAAGACATTTTTCACAAAACACGCCTATTTCTCTCTTATCCAAAAGTGTGTTATATAAAAAAAATATTTGGGAAATGATGTTTGATCAAGAATATTTTATTTTTAGGGTATTTTTGGGTTAAAACGTCTCTTTTTACCTGCCGCCTCTCTCACCTCTATTTTCTCTTCCTATCGTCTTTTCTCATGAGAGAAGGCCATGTAAAGCTCATGTCACCGCCGTGATCGGCGTTGGTATCGTCAAAATGAACCCAACGAAACCTTGTGATTTCTCGACCTTTCAGTTGTCAAAAATACTGGTTGAGCCTCAATGGAAGGATATCAACGGTTGTCTTCAAGAAGATGGATAAGTTTTCTTCTTTCCTTTTTTTTTTTGTTTTTTTGTTTCGTTGTTCTCCCTCCGTTTTTGTTGTGGTTGTTGCTTCTCTTAAATCAATGGTTGGTTGGGTGAGGTTAGGCCGTAGGGATTTTCCCGAATTTCCAAGGATTGATCTGGTTGATTTTTATTTTTATTTTTTTGGTTTTGATTTATTTGTTATCTTCTCTCTTTCACTGTGTTATTGAGGTGATCATGGTGAAACGACGTTGGAATCGACTCGAAGGCGGCAACTTCGATTGAAAGTGGCGGCGGCGTGGCTTATCGACAGTGACGTGCTCTGGTGGCGGCAGCAGGAATATAGAGTTTTGGGGTTAGTGTTAGATTAAGGTTAGTTTAGGTTTGGCTAGAGTTTGATTTTGGAGAAGGCCGTCATCTACATAAGGTGGAGTGAAGTCTTTCTGTAAAGTCATTTGGGAATCAATAATTCGTCAGATTTTATGAACAAACCATACGCTGTTCAAGTATAGAACAAATCATCTATGTATATAGGAACTAACATTACACCGCCTTCTCCGACTCGGCATTCCCCAAAGATTTAGACCACCGGAAAAAGTAGGCAAGTTGAGACAAACGATCGACCTTATGCTGTTGGGGAGGGGAAAATGTTAGAGGCTTCCTACAACGAAACAATATTAGGATATTAAGCTGAAAATATGAAGCATCATCTGAATCCTATAGCTATACGGATATGAGAATATTTTTCAAGGTAGATACACGTATGTTAACTACACAATTTTTAATGGGTAAACATAAATAAAATTTCATGATGAACACCATTATCAATAAAATAAATAATTAACCGAAAAATTGGATCTCAGGTAAGTACGTACCCACCCTCAGAAAGCCGTAAATCCACCACAGTATACAGGGACGTTGTTTTAGGTCCTTTTTAGTTTAACTATTAGTTAATTAAGACCTTTGTCCCTCCTAAATTTTATTTTTAAATATTTTATTAAACTTTGTTCTTTCATCGTAAAGAAAATTAGCTCCTCCCAGTGTTTGATCCTAACCATCCCTAACTGTAATATATACACGTACTTTTGATTACATTGTGTCTCAATGAAAGTTTTTAGCATGAACGGATCTTTTCTTTCACGCATGAACAAATGGATTGGGCCAAATGGAAGTTACCTGGGTGCTAGTTTGAGGTCTTCCCACGAACCATGTTTCTTCATGACTTGTACTTTTGCAAGCTGAGCAACATTCCTGTAAGAGTTTTAAATTGCTATGAAAAGAGCTGAAAAATGACATTTTCACATGAAAGGAGGTAGGTATCCTAAATAAAGGAGCAACTAAGTTTACATATAGACTGCATGAGTAGGTTAGAACCCTGATGGTTTAACTGCAAGTGTCCATACATGGTTCTAAAGAAGCAAATGACACTATGACAGAACGATACCTGATTGACAAACTGGTTTTTAAACTTTTCTGGATTCAACTTTCGTTCAGAGTGAAAAGCATAAGATACTTGAGCGTCCATTCCTGCAGAAATCGTTACAACAATACTAATGGATTAGCCGGTCATCAACTTTTCATGTTAGAAATGGAACTGATAATCAAGATAAATAAGGGTGATGCACTAGAGTACCATATATTGGGAGGAAACTAAAAGGGGGCTTATGAGAGATCCATTAATTGGTCGAGTGGTCAAGGATGCTCATAAAATATCATAACAAAAAGAAATGCAGTTTATAGGCATACACGTTTATAAATATCAAGAATCAGGTAGGGAACTTAAACTGCAAGTTAGACCGAAGACTTAACCGACAGGCTTGACTTACAATTATTCTTAATAGCTCATAAATATTTGCAGCAAATTTATCATTTTCCCTTTTAAGCTTTTTCAGTCTGGTGTAAACTCTACGAAGCGTCTTATCAGGGGACTCTTTCCCCACATCGAAAACCTGAAATCAATCACACCAATATCACCCTCAAAGCAAATATCCAATATGCTACATGAGTGACTATTGATAAGGTTCAAAAAGAGTTTTCTAAGAGAGTTTTTGCAGGCAAATCAATGTGTTCAGCAATGCTTTTGGTTGCCAATTTAGGTTTTGGAATTTGGACAGCTAAATCAATGCTAAACAAGCCCTAAAGCTACCTGAAATTCATTGAGGACAGTTTTATATGTTTGAAGAAGATCCCCGCCCAACTGGCCGCCACTTTTGGTGGATCAGGATCATCGAGCTCTTTGTTTCATCATTAAGTATAAGGTATGAATGTAGAAATCCTTCAAGAAATCAGAGTCGTATTTAGATTCCAATTAACGGATCCAACTGCATTATCAAATGATGAACATTACCATCAGAAATTGAATTTTTTCGAACATGAATCAGCACAAAGAAAAAATTGATTAAAACTAAATAAAATTATAACCTGCGTTTAAATGAATTCCATCCCATTGTAATGGACTTTGACATCGATTACACCTGAAAACACTCGTAAAATGATCAGCTTCCTTTGCTTGCTATACAAGTTGAAAGAAAGAAATGGCAGATTCAAGAGTTTTTACTTCTTTTTCTGTGGATACTTTGAAGTGTGATTTCGGGACTAATGAAACCGATTTTCCAGTTCGTTAATTTAGCATCTGGAAGCTGTCTATCAATTGAAACGTTCAAAGAGGAGATGAAATAGGACAGAGTTGACTCGGCCGGTTAACGTGAGTATAATTTTGCATGTATATATATGAAACCGCTTGAATGAATTTTAAATGTTAACGTACGATAATGATTTATTATTAGATAATTCGTTTGGTTTTAGAAAATATATATTATTTTTATTTTTTTAAAAATAATTTTTTTTTGAATAAAACTTGTTTGGTTGTAGAATTAAAAAATGATTTCTGAAAAAATGAAAAACGAAAATAAGCGAAAATATTAAAACATAAAAAGTATGTCTCAGTATTTTCATTAAAATTATTTTGAAATTTTGAAAAATGAGAAAACGAGATCTTAGTTTTTAATTTAACTTAACTTACATAGATTCAAATCGTTCTAACAACAGTTTTCTGACATAGTGGTCCCTAAAACTTTCAAACTTTTGTAAAAAAATTAATATGGTCCTTAAACTTTTGTATACTCAATGTGATCCTTAAACTAATTTTTTAAAATAATTTTTTTTGTAGTATGCTAATATAATGAATATCTTAATGTTTATATTTTATTTTTAAATTTAAGTAATTTCTTAATTTTCTAAAAAATAAATAAGTTTTCAAACTTTCTTAAAAAGTTAATTAGGCCATCGAACTTAATAAAAATCAATTAAATTCATCTTTTACATCATCGTCCATTGTGAACTATCACATCAACATTTAATTACTATGCAAGATTTTTAAATTGTCGTGTAAGCTTCGTGAACATATTGATTTTGTTGGTCAAAAGATTATATTAGTTTTTTTTCTTAGATTAAAGATCACATTTGTAAAAAAATTCAGGGATTACACTGGTTCCCCAAAGTTTGAGGCTTTAAATACTACAAAATATATATTTTATTTTAACAACATTTTTGTATGCTCTTCCTTAGAACAATATTTTTAGTTTAATTGATGTTCAATATACAATAACATTATATTCTTATTATAAATTTAAATAATTTTTTTGTTATAAATTTTCTTATAAACTTTATTGTTTTATATTTACAATTCACATGTTTAATTTATGTAATATTTTTTAATATTTGTATTTTAATTTAATTATTTAATATCTATTTGTTCATCTTTATTTTAAAAAATAGATATAAAATATATTTTACTATTTTTATTTATGAATTCCAGATTTCATAATATTAACCAAACATATTTTCTAATTTTCAAAAAACTGAAAATGAAAATTATTTATGAAAATAAAAACATAAAATATATTTTCTAAACCAAACGGACCCTTAGTTTCTTCGAAGTTTTAAACTCAAACAACTGTACTTATAGGTGTGAGTATATTATCAATAATTAAATAATATTATATATAAATATTATATTATAAATATAGGATTATTAAAAAAGTTTTTTTTAATTGTTGGTAATATACACATAATTTGTAGATATAATTATTTAAATTTGAGTCCTTTAAGAAGAATAACTTTTTCTTTACTACGGAGATCAATTTTTAAAATAAGTATGTAAATTATTTTTATGCAACTGTTTCAAAATAACTTTTATTAAAAAAAATATTTCAAATTTAAATATTATAAAACCCATAATTTTAAATTTTAAATTAAATATAATATATAAAAAACAATATAATGTACTCAAATGTTGTGAATAAATATAAATATAACATCAAGTTTAAACATTATTAAAATTACAAATTTTTTATTAAGCCATCACTCAGTAGTTCAAAACAGCTATTGAGATTATCAATGGACAAAATTTCCAGCCACTAAATGCAAACACTAAACATTAAGGAGCTTCAAGCTTTGTTCAAAAATGGAAACGAATTCATCCATGTGTTTATAATCCAAAGCGATCCCCACCACTCTATTCCGCCTTGCTCATTGTGCACTCGGCCAGCGCTATTGCTCCATCGTTCTCGATATGTGTCAGCTCGACCTTGCACGGCCTTCCCCACCCGAAATCGGTGTCGTAAACTTGTAGTTTCGGTGACCCTGCAGCCGCAGTAAGACCCCTGTTTTAATCCGTTCCATGATAGCGGTTGCCAATGTTTTGCCCTCTCAACCCACTTCTCTCCATTTCTTTTATTCTTTTTCCGATCGCTTTCGCGGCCAAAACGACCCCGTTTTCTCCTACTAGCTCGCTTTTCTTTATGTCGACGACTCCCGGTTTTAAGCAATTCCCAAAGTATCTTGCAGGTACCGGAAATTCCAAACGGTTCCGGCAATCAAACGGGAAAAGGAAGTAATAGAACTTATCATCCTCGTTGTCCACAACATGCGAGACTCTATCTTTTGATTTAATCAAACAAACCCATATGAAGGCACATGTGACCACAAACGTTGAGACGTGACATGTCTCCGAATCGACGCTGTTCTTGCAATGTGCTGTGACCCAATGCTTCAGTTTATCGGCATGAGCTCGACCTAACACGAACGTGCCTCGAAACTTTTCCGTTCCGATATCCTTGGCGGGTGTTGTATTCTCACAGGATGATACCCATTGCCAATAATTTCTTCAGTGCAATCAACTCCATGCCATTAGGGTCCTTAATCACATCCTTGTTAATCATAGGAAGTGAATTTTCGAGACAATTAAAGTCACCACACGACCTATTGATAGATTTCCAACACCTCATGAGCTGCATGAATGAGTTGCCATCACCGACCGCGTGACAATAAGTCGATCCGATGCAAATCCCGGAGTTTGGAAACACGGTGACTTGAAAGGCAATGACAGGGATCACGCGTACGCAGTCTTCGGTCACACGTGCCACCGACGGTAGTTGAGGAATAAAGGGGTGTAACAATTTAACGGATCGTGGATAATCGGCTATGACGTTGTTGAAATCTGCATCTGATTCAGCGACTGTGAAGGAGACGGAGTCACCCTCCTTGTAGTGGATGTAAGGCTTTCCGGGCAAACGAGGGCACATGATATTAGCCGCGAACGGGTAAAAATGTTGGAGAGTTAGGGACAGAGAGCGTTGCAGCATAGGAAGAGTGGCTTCCGTAAAATGCGATGCGGGGTGAGGGAACTCGTAGAAGAAAAGGCGTTGCACCTTAGCACAAGATAACCATGAAATGTCGAAATGAGTGAGGGGCACTGAGATCGTCGAAACCGAGCCCCGAGGTGGCGACACTTGAAGGCGGTCGAGAACCTTAACCGTGTCGATTTGAGCCATGTATGATGAGAATCCTGAAACGTTGTTGCTTAGTTCACAGTTCAAACTATTTTGTCCAGCAAATGCAGAATTCTATTTAAATACTAAACTCGGTCAAAAAAGAAGGTTTATTATTAGAAAAACAGATCCTAACGAAACTGGGAGGGTAAGGAAGACGAATTTCCTGGCATCCTGACCAATCACAAAGCTACACGTCACCATTAAAATAGCAGAAATCAAACAGCAAATGATCTGTGCCCAGGGCATACATATTTCCCAGTAGTACAAATACTAAACTCGAAGTTTGCTTCAAATTTTGTTCGAAAACGGTAACGAATTCATCCATTTGATTCTCGTTTAAAGCAACGCCCACCTCTATTCAGCCTTGCCCGTCCCTGGACTCGGTCATCGATATCGCACCGTCGTAATCGATGTGTGTCAACTCGACCTTGCGAGGCCTTCCCCACCCGAA